CGGCTCCGGGCGCTCCAGCGCTGTCCCCGCGCCCCGCCGGTGCCCCCCGTGCCCTGCAGCGCCTGCCCGGCGTAGGTGGCCGTGCTGGAGACGCTCATCCCCATGGCAGTGCCTGTCCCTGGGCTGTGGGAGTGCCGGTCCTGCCACCCCTCACACGCCCATGCCCCAGCACTGGAAGGGCCTGTTCCCGCCGCGCCGGGAGGCTCTGGAAAGGCTGAGTGTGCCGTGCGGTGCTGGAAAGCCTGTTCTCTGCTCCTCCTCCGCTCCAGCCCTCCTGTCCTGCAGCTCCCAAACCATGGAGAACATCCCTGGAAGCCCACCGAGCCATCGAGCACCTGCAGTGCTCCTGGGGTTGCCATGCCCCTTCTGCAGTGACCTGTGAGGTAACAGCATTGCCTTTGGCGTTTGGGGCTTGGATGTTCAACGGTGAACGCTCTAAAAACAGGAAGAATTGTGGAAACTGGAGGGGGAAGTCAAGATCTCTGGAGTTCACTGGCCATCCTTGCAGGATCCTCTTCCGTCCTCCCTCCTTCCCTTGGCAGCTGCTCTGCCTTTCTCCGCAGTGTTTCCTAGGAGTTGAATCAGGGCTGCTGAACTCTTCCCCTGGGTGATTCCCTGTTTTACCACACAGTGACACATCTGCGTGGGCCTCTTCTACCAAATGGTTTGATTCTACATGGAGGCACCCAATAAATTCCACACCTCAAGCTCAAGCTTTTGGCACCGCGAGCCTGGAGCTGTGTGTGAGTTCTGGATGTTGGTGTCTCTGGCGGGAAAAAATTGATTAAAAACAGTGGCTGTTTTTTTCCGGGAGCCAGTGCATCTCCATTTTTAACTTCTGATGAAAAAAACCCACCCCACTATTTCAGTATTTTCAATAGCAAACTGTGCTGTTTTCAAGTATCCAGATTCCTGAGCCGTGTTGTTGGGATCAGGAGGTTCAAACATAGTAATTTTGGACCTGTTGTATCAGTTTGATTCACCTCCTGGTTTCTGGTTCATTACAAGACATGTGCTCCTTCCTTTTGAACTGTCCATCTTCACCTTAGAGGATTGAAACTTGCTTTTTAAGATGAAATCTGGGAGGTTTCTTTGCCCAAGGTGTGAAAAATGCATTCAGAATGACGAAATGATCATCAAGAAGTTTTGGGAATGCTTTCTGACTTTGAACCTCTTGAGCTATGCTTCCTCCACTGAGGAGAACTGGTTCTAGCTCAGAATTAGACAGAAAATCAGAGGAGATCACAGCTGTAAGAACAGTTTTTCCAGAGATAAATCACTAAAAATAATTTATGGAAACAGCGGGAAGATGCCACTGCTTGTTTGCCCAAAACACACAGAAGAAAAATAGAAACCCAACCTTTCTTTTTTAAAAAAATAAATCCATCCTTGGATGAAACGTGACCTTTCTGTGACTGACTTTCCTCCACTCTTCATCTTCTCCTTCTATAAAAAGTGTGTTATCAACACTATTCTTCTCCTGAATCCAAAACACAGCCCCATACCAGCTACTAGGAAGAAAATTAGCTGTATTTCAGACCAAACCAGGTCACTAACTCACACAGTGAATTTAAAGTCCATAGGACAGTACCATAGTGGGGGTTTCCTATTTTTATTAATTTCCACAGGAGCAGATGATTATCTCAAAGCTTTCCTAAAATAGTCACATTTAGAAAAGTCAAATAAGTTACTTAACACACAGCTCACCTGCCCTGTATATGGAGATTGCATTTCCCTTGCTGCTCTTGACTGAGAGCTCTAACCCATAATTCAGGGACTAAGAAGCAGAATTCCCCCCAGAGGAAAATTCAAATATGATTTTGTAGCAGTGGAGCTGATGCAGCTCCAAAGAAGTCCCTGCAGATTTCCAGCTACAGTTTTGGCCTCATTCTAAATTTCAGACTTATCTCGAGGTTCTGCTATCTTAGCGTGATAAGGAACCATTTCCAAGGGTGTTGTAAAATGAGGAGTTTCTGGGGTTGAGGTTTCAAATTTACAACTGATTTTCGTGAGTTTGGAGAGGTTTAGTCCCTGCCTTGTAGAGTTCACCAGGTAACACAATGAGAGCCATTAAAAAACCCAGATCTTGCCTGAATTGTAACAAAATAATACCACTTTGGGGGCTAAAAATAACTAATTAATAAGGGCTGTTGGGTTATTTTAAGCAGAGCATTTGCAAGCTGCAGCCAGGGAGTGGCTTCTTTCGTCCCTGATTCCTGAGCAGCCACTGGAGGCAGCGATGCTGGAGCAGAACTGCCCAGCTCACCGCGTACCTGGCGTTAGTAGGACCCTGTGGAATTTACTGATGCCCCGAGGAAACTCCCGTTTGAATTTCTGAACCACATCCAAAGGCCGGCATTTATCTGTCTGCGTCGTTCTGGAGATCAGAGCGTGACCTTCCCTGTGTGCCCGGGGGTGTTTCCTGAGGTGTGGTACCAGAACAGACGGAATTCCCGCGGCTGCAGCAAGTGCAGGGATGTGCTCCCACATCCATGACCTCCCAGTCTGTCCAAGCTAATGGTCTAGAGGGGAGGGATGGGGCATCCAGAGGCACCTGGACAGGCTGGAGAGGTGGGATCGTGTGAACCTCGGGAAGACCAGCCAGGCCAAGTACAAAGTCCTGCTCCTGAGTCTGGGCAATCCCAAACACAAACTGGGCAGAGAGTGGACTGGGAGCGGCCCTGGGGAGAAGGACTGGGAGTGCTGGTGGATGGAAAGCTCATCCTGACCTGACAGAGCACGGACAGCCCACAGACCCCCCGTGCCCTGGGCTGATCCCACAGGGATCATGGGCAGCAGGGCAGGGGGGGATTCTGCCCCTCTGCCCCCTCAGAGCCCTGGGGAACAACAGCACAAGGACCTGGAGCTGCTGGAGAGAGTCCAGAAGAGGCCCCGGAGCTGCCCCTCTGCTCCTGATTCTGCCTTCCTTGTGGAACCTGGAAAATCCCACCGTGACTTTTCGTGGCAGCGATTCTCTTTCACCACAAACCCATCGAGAAATAGCTCAGGCTGTTTTCAAGCCTAGAAGCTTTTGTGAGGTTCTTTGAACATTTATAGAGCTTGTTAAACTTTTTCCTGGTGAAAGCTTTTCTTTATGGCCACAGTGATGAGGTAATAACATCCTCCTGAAGGGGGGTTTTACAGCCCCCTGCCCCTTGACCCCCCTCCTGCTCTTTTGGACAATAAGCTTTTGTTTGGATGTTTAACAAGCCAATTCAAACAACTTCTAAACCGATTGGCAACACCCACCCCCAGGAATAAACATGCTGAAATATCTTTTCCCAAGAAAAAAAAAAAATACAGGTTCACCTACTCACGCTGTAACTGGAGGGTGAGACTCCTGTAGCAAAACTGAGTGCAATATCCCTAAAATTTGCCAGTATCTTACATACATGAATCCATCATTCCCTGAAAATAGAGCAAATAACAACAGATTTTAAAGGCAGCAGAAAAAAAAAATCATTTGCTCTCGAAGAAAAGCTTTCTAGGTGTGGTTTGTGCTGGGGCTGAGGAGTCATAGAATCCCAGAACAAGGATGGAACACATCTGGGAGGAACCAGGGAACCAGTAAATGATCAGACCATGGGCAGAGTTCAAATTCCCACCAGGCTCCTCTTACAGCCTTTTACAGCCTGTTGAAACATCTTCACCCCCAAGTGCCCCCAGCCCAGAGGAGAAAATAACACCACAAAGAGCAGAGCAAAGAAATCCCCGCATTAGCAC